ACGCGAACGAATTGCTTGAGCGCGGGGATTGTCTTCAAAAGGTCCACGGTCATCTTTAAATATCTAAGCTCTCTTTGAAGGAAAACTTAGTGGAAACCGCAACGAAGGACCCTGGTACGGTTTTGCACCAGAAAGTTATGAGGTAGCTGCGGTAAGGTGCAGGGATGTGCAAGTGACTCCACAAAAAGTCAGTGACTCCGCCCGCGTTAGATATCCTACCGCTTGTCTTACTCTTTGCGTGCTCTCTCGTTGCTCTATTCTGGCCTGTCTGTCATGTCTCCCCCGAAACCACTTGATTTCAAGCGTTTTCGACTCTTCCCTCCCTTTGTTTTTCTTCCACGTGGAAACTGTTAGGTAGAATTCGCTAACACCTCCTCCAGCGAGCTGGAATACCTGCGGCAGTACGGGTAGGTCAGGAAGATATTGAGCTGACCTCCTTCTTGGGTTTGGGACCTGTGAATTAGGGATGACTTGGAGGATTGTAGACATAACCTATAGACTATCAATTGAAGTGTGTATTCTTGTCGCATTGCTTTCACATGCTTACTGATTGTCTCTAGAAGTTCTCTGGAATAAATGGGGATGGCTAAATGGTGACTATAGACTGTAGCCTTGGTATAACTTGGTATGTACACTCTTTATCCCTGAACCAGAGTAGGCGTGGCATTTGAACATGGCACGGAATTGGTTACTCGTGGAATATTCCAGTCTGGGACAACTGTCATCTTGTTCTGTGTTGGACAGAGACACGACAACAATTGTGTCAAGATGAAAATATCTCACCAGAAGCATAGACACCTTCAGGTTAAGTTGAAACATGCAGGCCACGCCTACCCGATCTCAGGGATTTCGAGTACGGTGCACATTGAAGAGCCGCCACAGGGATGCCCGGACCCAGAATCGGTCGTATCTGGTCTGAGAAAATCCTTCTGTTATTTATTTTTTCATGTTCCGCGCGCGCTTCATCGTTGGGAGACTGCCACCACTGGTCGTAGCGCAGCCGATTCCTAAACAACTAGTGTTTTCAATAAGCTGAAACGAATAGCTTGTTGGTAACGACCTTCCTCTCCCCTCCACGGCAAACTGTTGGAGAAAAACTGGAAAACTCTCCGAAAAATTCGGAAAATACGTTGCAGGAAGTTGAGAACAGTCATGGCAGACAGGATGAGGAAGGGGGCCCGTACGTGAGGAGGAAAATTCGTAGTTCATATTTTGCAACTGTTTCCCTCGGCGACAGCACGTGCTCTGCTTGGTATGTAAGTCGTGAGTAGGGAATATCTAGCCTTATCTAGACTCACCGATACTCCTCGTGTGCACCTTTTTTTATTCTGTTCAAACGAGTCCTGATGAGTGGTGGAGATAGTTCGATTTTCATGACTGTCAGCACGACACTCAGCGACATACTAGAGGTGTGTTCGTAACATGCAACTACGCTTTTTTCATACTGAAAGAAAGCAGTGGTCTTCCAATTATGGGATGTTTACTCCTGATAAGGAAGCACGTCGTCGTTGGGATACGCTCATCGAGGTAGGGGAAGGTTTTTGACTTTGACTTGGCTTTATGTGGGGGATCCTAAGCGCAGGGTCATTTACAGCTGCACAATGTTCCTACTAAAGTAACGACGAAAATATTTCGAAGTCACATAGACAAGACATCACAAGGAAGCAGGTTCCCAAACCATTCACTGGAACTCGCTAACTAAAAGAGCTAAGAAGTGCTAAGCTGGTTAAAGTGTCGCCAAAACGGCGTTTCTGGTTTCCTCATCAATGTCATATGCAGGCGAACTCAATTGGGAACATGTGGAGGGGAATCTGACGAACCAAAGTGGCTCTATGCGCATTAGAAAGATGGATCCAAGCCTTCCCGGAGGGTAGAAGGCGTGGTTGGCTCGGGCGGGAGCCCACCCTTGATTCGGCCCCTCGAATAGTGCGCGTGATAAGCGTGCCACTTGCAGTGAGACCTCCGCCAACTCAAACTTAAAAAAGTATTTCTCCGAAAAACTTTGCAACTAACTAGTACAATATTTCAGACTTTAGGCCTAGAGGACCAACCTAGGAGTATCCCGATTTACACCTTATTCGTGCTGATGGTTCGTTTCTGTACTGTACCTTAACATTTATGAAGAATTTTTTCCCTTTTTTGCACAAAGATAGGCATTATCCATCGCGTTCCATCAAATCCTTTGGAATCAACGTAATTGATACAGAAGATCTCATTGATAATAATGATTATTTGGTGGAATCGGCATGATGTATCAGAAAGCCGCTCTACAATTCTGATGGTATTCGATGAAGAGATCCCTTTGATTTCGGATTTGCCAATGGTCTCGACACCAGCGAGATCGAAACCTGATGAGAAAGCAAAGTAGACAAGGTTAGATTCCAGAGATTTTAGACTGACATCTTCGATTGTAATGCTACTCAAAGACGAAAAGTTGTCACAACTTCTTCAGAATAGAGTTTCGGTACAAGGGTAGTTAAAGGCAGTTGGCACGATAAATCGCTATACAGGTGTAGGATTTGTACAACTAGCTCAACAGAATTCCGTGACCTCGGACAGGCGCTGCGTGAAACCTTTTCCAAGGAGGGTACCTCTATAGCGCCCTATTGAGCAACAACTTTACGTCCCAAACGCCTTCCTTGCCCGCCCGCCCACAAACGGACGACCGTTTCTGACGCTCGTGTTTCGCCGTGATTCTTCATTTGCTGAGCAAATTATGAAGCAAAGGGATTGGTATGAAGCGGCGGTGATGCTGCATGCATATATGGGTACAAATATGCAGCCGTACCTTCGGTAGCGGTGATTGGCAAGATGCGTACGGGAAACTCGTCCGAAATCGATTTACAAGTCACTGAGAACGGAGGCTTTTTCTTCGCCGGATTTGACCGTTTCATTCCGTTCTTTCGCCAATTCCGCACTATACAGCGCCCTACTAGCATTTTAGGCTAAGTAGGAACCACGTGGCCAACTGCTTTAAGTATGAACGCGGCATCGCGATTCTACATCAAGCCTTGTCAATGTGGGTTGCCTTTTGGTTTGGGCCACTCGATCTTTTAGATATACCAGGCTGCGGTTTAGATTTCGAGGGCGGCGTCACGCGAGTAATGCAAGCTGGGCCCTAGCATGAACGTAACACGCCAGGTTCCTACAGCATCAGTGAGGGGTGAGGGATACAGCAGATCCGCCGTAGAGCGGTCGCCATCCGCACGAAAGCCATCAACGCGGTCTCGAAGGCACGTTGTCTCGCGATAAAATAAGTATATAACCTCTAAAACGTGTCAGACGATCCAGGGCAACTGGGGAGGCTGCGCTACCTTCAAAAAAGTGAAAATTGGCAAGAACTCCGCTGGAAGCTGACCAATTAGGCCCATGGGCACCCCTTAGGTCCATGCCAACCCCCACTGACTGCTAGCTACTAGCTACATATACCACTATGCTACCCTTTCCTCCATTAGAAGAAGGTAGACTGAGATGTCAAGATAAATGAGCTGATTATCATCATGATAGCGATGGAAGAAAATTTGTACAAACATATGTGAAGGTCGACATGGCTATTCAAGGCATTGGACTGTTTTTTTCTATCTGCTTTCCTCCATTAATCTTAACCTAAAAACTTTTCGTTGAGCCGTATCTGGATTCCCCCGTAATCTGTGATCACTGGCTGTGCCTTCACTCCAACCTGCCCATTTCAGCCAAATATCTACTCAGGAAGCACGTTCTACTGCATAGAATCACCAATCATACCTAGAATTGCTTTGTTACGAATCTTCCAAAATATTCTGTTTGTCTTTGTTTTTATTGATGAATTAATAAAGGCTGGAGTCCTTCTAAACTGCAGCATAAACGACCTGTGCTATACATATCTTTTTTCTTAAATGTACTATTACCGTGCGCATTTTCATTTTATTTAAGTCATTATCTTATATGCTCAGTTCAGGGCAGCATTCATTTAGTTAGGATTCGGTCGAAGTCGTAACGACCCTTCCCCCTGAAGCGGCTTGATACGAGCCCCTTCTCCATCCTACCAACCACTTCCTTGCGTTTTCCCAACTTCCCAGCAGTTTCTTTGAAATTTCATGAGGAATTCTCCTTCTTTTACTGGATTTAAAATAGTGTTCCAACGCTCCTCAGAGGATTTCAGAAGAGATGTGGTTTCCTCACCTTCTTAACGACAGTTTCCCCACAATAATGTGTTCTTAATAGTTGCTGTTCAATTATGAAACAGTAGCTGATAAGTGATCCCCAAAGAAGAAAAAAGCAAGAAGAGTCCTGAAGAACACCATAAACAAAATTGTTCGCAGGCAGTCACACCGCCCTGGGGTCTCTGTGCGATCCCTGGCTCACATATCCCTTTTTCGCATCTCCCAGTAGTAGACTTCATCCAAAGAAGAGAATACGAAAAACACCAAAAACACCGACGTAAAACTATTGGGAGAAAGAAACTTTCAAAAACTCGGCGTATGGGTTTAGGGATGCATCTGCTAGTGCGTCGGGCTATTGCACAAAGAATTGCATCAATTGTGTTTTTACTCGTTTTACCTTGCGAGATGGGTTGCAGTCGACGTATGTGCTCCTAATGAATAAAATGTGATAAAGGGGATGTTATAAAGGAATGTATAAAGAGCAGAATAGTTATGGGCATAAGCGCGGTCAGCAAAAAGGACATGCAATTCCGATTAATCCCGCCGCCCCAACAAAGAACAACTGAGCGGCCTTCCCTCAGGGGGTATCTAGCAAGTGGGCGGTCCAACTGAGCTGGCGTTAGAACTAGGACCTTCAACAGCTGTGGCACGCTCCCCGCGCGATGTAGTCGCCAGAGTGGGACAGTCTCTTAGCTTGGGGCTGTACTATTTGCACAATGAGGACGACCAGAAGTTATTTGAGCGCAAGGGCTGTTAACAATTCTCTGAACTTCCCTATCACTTTTCCGAGAAAGTCCAATTTCCCCAAAGAAAACAGCGCAGCACTTGAAACGGGAAAGTATGGGAAGTCAACGATGCGAAATATTCCTCTCAAAGTTGTATACGACCACCTTCCCTCCCTCCAGCGACCAAATAGGACGCTATCTCGCTGCCCTCGATTGGGATCCCCAATGT